ACATAGTGAGCGAGAAGAAGTTCAGTGATGTAGGCTGGCGCTTGTCCATGAAGAGCTCTAAAGGTTAAAATGGACTCTGAATTCGATGGGGAGCCAAAGCAGCTGTGTTAGCAACGGTGTCACATGAGAGTACTTAGATGTTTTGGTCAGAAGCCTTGCTGCAGCGTTTTGGACAATCTGCAGTCGCTCCAGGGAGTCCCTGTTAGACATGTAAAGAGGGAACAGTAGCCCAATCGTGATGAAATGAATGCATGGACAACAATCTCCAGTTCAGTACGAGATACAATAGGACTTAATTTAGAAACGTTTCTTAAATGATAAAAGCAGGACTGAACCAGAGATTTAATGGGTCAAAAGTTACCTCGAGGTTCCTGATAGACGATTTCACAAATGTTGAAAGAGGACCAAGAGCATTCATTATGTTAGGTACAGGTCTGTCAGCACATACAAGGACTTCGGTCTTTCCTTCATGATGTTGGAGGAAGTTGTTGGCCATCCAACCTTTGATGGATTCTAAGCACTAATTCAGAAGCTTAGAAACATCTCGGGGTTTAAAAGAAATGTCTAACTGGATATCATCTGCATAGCAGTGGTAACAAATGTCCTCAAAATGGCTCAAAATATGCTGGAGAGGAAGTGGATATATTAAAAACAATAAAGGCCCCGACACAGAACCTTGTGGCACACCATAGGTGAGAGAAGTGGAAGATGACCTGTACTGAGAAACTGCCACAGAAAAATATCGTTCAGATACGAGGAGAACCACTCTAAGGTAGATCCAGACACACCGACCCAGTATTTCAGCCTTTCAAGCTGAATGTGATGGTTAACGGTGTCAAAGGCCGACGTGAGGTCCAACATCAGGAGTACAGAACATTTTCCTGCATCGTTAGACTGAAGACTGAAGAGAAAGGCTGTTTCAGGAGAATGAGCTCTGCAAAAGCCAGACTGAAATTTGTCAAGGATATCGGGTTTGACGGTATTTTTGAGATTGGCCTGTAAGCATTTGGCAGCATTTTTAAAATAAGCAGGGACTTTACCAGACACCGGTGACGTGTCAATTATGGTGAGCACACAGGGACCGATAGACTGGAAGACATTTTTGAATAATGATGTCAAGTGAACAGGACGATGCTTTCATTGAATTACAGTTTTTTACAGACGCTAGGACACATTTCTCAATACTTAGGTCACTTTTGCAAAACTCCTCACACAGTGAGCA